CCCCAAAACCCCAAAACCCCAAAACCCCAAAGTTTAAAATAGATTTAGATGCTTTATTTGAATTAAATAAGTTCTAATCAATAAAAAGGCCAATTAATAGGATTAAGAAGTTTTGTTAAAATACACATCATTTAATCATCAGACAAAGCTGACCTCCATCATGGAATCCTCGTCTTGTATCCCTATATTTGGATCTGTTGTCCCATTCATGGTGCTATTGCTAAAACCTGATTTCTTACATATCTACCAATCTTTCTAAGTCTTAGAGTTGACATTTAGGATCTATTTTTCATGCTTTAATAGTATTCGTTCACTGATTAATTCATTTTCATTTATGGCAGCATTGATTGCTGTATTGAGTCCTTCAGCAACAGCACGAGAAGGTGACTTTGATCTGGTATTTTTTCCTGATGTTTAGATTTTCTATGGTGTATGATAGAATTCATCAAGAGGATCTATCTCTTTAATAGGCTTAAATTCCTAATCCTCTAACTTGCTCTAAGAGCAAGATGGTGATTGAACGCAAGATGCAACATCATTTAAGTTTGTTTGCTTAAGTTTAACAAATGATGATTTCAAAAGGGATGTCTGCTAGTATTTGGCTGTAAAACTATTCTACTACTTACTGGTCTTCTTGCTCTTTTTATCTATATTGTCAGCCAAAATTCTTATTTTTTTAACTATAATCTGCTGTATATTTTGTTACTAGTCATTTTAATTTTATACTTCGTTCTCAGATTGAATCATTTTTTAATCAGAGTTTTGCATGTTACTATTTAGATTGATATTTTCCTATTCATCGTCTTAGCTATCATCTATAGCTATTATTACAGCCTCTTCTTTGATTCTTTCTCTCTGAATCACTTCATACTCAATTAAAGGATAATAACTGACTATTTTATCACCTTAGCTACTGGATAAATGCCTTCCAAGTCCTATCAAGCATTTTTTAATTGAGAATAACTTATTGATTGATTGATATAACTCTTGAATAGCAGCATTTTCCTTTACAGTCATAGGAAAGTCACGTGATACCAGTGCCTTTACTATTGGATCATTAATATTGAACTAGCTATCAGTAGTAGAATCATTGCTATCCTGTGACGAGTTTTCATTCTATTCGTTGAAGAAATTTGAACTTAGCATTGCTGAGCATTATCTGGCCGTTGTTCTTCTTTTATTTTGAATGGAGTTAATAGTGCTCTGAATCATATCCTGAATAATTTAAATTATATGATGAAAATTACTTAGATATAAAAGCTTATAAGATAAGCATCTTTTTTTGATAGAAATGTAGTCTAAGTGCCTATTGAATCTTATAAGACTTCCAGATGCTCAAACTCACTAATTTTAGGTAGCTAATTTTTATTGAATAGCAAATTAAAGTGTTTTTATTTATTTCCGGCATAATAAACCTATTGGGCAATTATCTGTTTTTTACTTTAGAAAATAAGTTAATTTTCTCTATCGAATGAGTTTATTTTGAATCTAGGGGCTCTATCATAAATCTGCTATTTTGGCGGATTTAGAGATTCCTCAAAGCCACTATCTTCAAAATATAAAGTTTCAGTTCTTTTATCCTATATAAAGATTGTTATTGAAGTAATCATACTATTCTGTCATTTATAATAAGATCGAAGCTAGTCATGTCCATTAAAGTTGCATAACTTTCAATGTCTATTTCCTCTTACTACTTATGCTCGCTTTTTTTAATTTTAGATGGAATTTATTTAGAAATATCAGTAGTAAGTTTTTTATCTTTTGAGACGTGCAAATTTAGTTATAGCTCATTTAATAACTAGGAGATATCTCTTTTATGATTAATAAATAATTGGGTCACATTATCATTTATTTTTTCTAATTAGGTCATTTTAAAGCTCTCAACTAATTTTTTAATACGATCATCATTCATCTCCTGAATGTTTTAATCAAGAGTCTGGTTAACAAAATATTCGAAGATTTGAATAAGCTTTAAATAACAGACATATTCTTTTCCTCGAGGTCGGCAGTATTTATACTTCACTAAATCGTATGTAATATCTTAGTCTTTCAGATTTGACAAGAAAAGATTCTTTACTAAATCCATGTTACTTGCTGTCATAATGATAGGGACTTTAGTAATTTACATGATTTTATGTAGCTGTGTGAAAAATTCAGACTCATCATAGAAAGCTACATCAATGTCCTCAAAAAATAGGATCTTTTAAGAAAACTATTATTGAGTTCCTCCCTGCTGTGAAAGTGAACTATTATTCAATGGTTGGTTCAGTGATTACTAAGTCTTGGCAATATTTTAGGAGTTAAACTTTCCAAAAAATGCATCAAAGATACTATTAGAATTGGTACCATTTTACTGATACTAAACAGTAGATTAAGTACCTTCAAAGATAGAGTATTTGAAAGTTTGGGCGTTTCTCTTCTAAGTCATAGAGATTCTTTGAATAATCAAATTATGATTGGACTTAAGCTCATTCAATATGTAATCTCGTATCAATAGAGTATTTCCTACAATAAATAGCAGTTTAGATGCATTTGCATCTTGCTTATCTCTCTTTGCTAATTTTTTGCTTTTTGCAGAGCTTTTCTTTTGATTCTTCTTTTACTGAATCATGACCTGATTTTTTGCGAAAAATTTCTCAATTTTAGATTAGGAATTAGACTCCTCAATTGACTAAAGCAAATTCAAGTACTTATCTTGGAACAAAATCCCCTCCTCTAAATTCAAAATTATTATGAGATGATATTTAAGAGCATACCTCTATTGATTTTGTTGGCTTCGAATACTTATCTGACTTCGGTAAAAATTTCACTAAGGTATTCTAAATCTACACCTTCCCACAAAAATTATATTTTCTTTTTATGAAAAAGCGCCTTTTCTAATTATTTCATCAATAACTAATATTATGAGGACTCGAGTAATTTTGCTCTCTCCTCTTTTTAAAGAAATTTCTATTAATGCAGTTTCTAAGTCTCTTCCTTTAGTAGTGCTAAATTTTCGACAATATTTGGCTAAAGTTGAGTTGCACTTGATTTGTTGGCTTAGCTTTATTTTTATGTCTCAGTTATCTCACTGACATTTGTTTATTTTATCCTAAAAAATTATTGCTAAAATTTTTACCCAAATAGACTTAGCTAAGCCTAAGAACTTTTATTAGGTTTATTGATTGTAGGAGGCTTTCATTTACTTTTCTAAATTGCCAACTGATCTTGATTCAAAGAATCTGATATGCAATCTTTCGATATCTCTTATAAAGTCCGCCTTTTACTTTTAATTTATTCTTTATTTGGATCTTCCTCTTATTATATGATCTGCTGATTGTGTTTTCGAATATTAAAAAATTGGGATACGCCGAAAAATCCGGGTTTAAATTGGCATTGCTTCATGGGATCCGGAGGGGAGATCAAAGTGCTTTATTGAGTATTTTTATTAATTTTTGCCTTATGCATTTTATATTTTAATATTCAAAATTAATTACCAACTAATTTTTATAGCTAATTTACTTACAGGGGTTTTGGGGTTTTGGGGTTTTGGGG